GCAGCCTCTACAGTAATGAATGTATATTCATTACACACACAGTCACAGTACAGCACAAATAGGAGACCAGACCAGCAAGGCGCGGCTTCTGATGACGAAACCCCATGGCGTGCTTTCCACGCGCACGCCATGTCAGCTGCATCCGTACATGGTTTCCAAGGCGACTCGTAGAACACGCATCTCAACCGTCTAATCTAGTCGAATCAGCTAGTTCTGGTCGTAGGCCGTGCGATTTGAACACCAAGCCTCATGGTTGATCGTACGGCAACGCGGGTCCAAGTTTGCCAATCGCCGCTGGCGGATCGCCACGGAGAAATGAACAAGAGTCATTCTCCAGCACCACTCGTGAGATTCTCCAGCACAGCAACGAGAGCTTTTGCTTCCCATTGGTGTCGTCCTTGCATTCGATGCCTCTGCTAGCTGTACTACTAATGTTCCTCTAGCCGCATCCTGGAGTATGCATCTACCGCCGAACGTGCCTAGATCTGCGTCCTTTTGGTCTAGGACCGTCCGATCCACTGACAGACAAGTTCCGTACGTCGCGACACGACGGTGTGTCTCGCCAACTACCTACCATCAGCCGTGCCACGATAAAAGTAGTAGGGTCGTTTAGCAATGACGACAAGCATTGCATTTTTGCCTAGCCGTTTCGATCTGAAAGACAGACATTCGCTTCTACCAGTTGTGGTACTATCTCCGCTGAACTCATGAGGCTACTGTGCCTGGTGCTGCTGCTCCTGCTGGCAGGTACGCTTCATGATCCAGTCGTCCATCCCCTTGTCTTTTCAAAGATGTCCATTTAATCCTCAGCAGCAGGCTGCTTCTCCACAACGAGTCCGTCCTTCCAACTCATGAAGGCCTTCGGGTTCAAGGCAGGACGAGTCAGCGTCTTTGCTTCAATGCTGCCGTGTTTTTTATCAATCTGCTCATTGGCTTGGTGTTTTTTTGGCTATTGTTTTTCTGCTGCGTTTCGTTCCACCTGAATTTTCTCCTTTTTCTTCTTTTCTGCTTTCCATACTGTATTTTGCCGTGCCTTGCCGTGCTGTCGCGCTCTGCTATGCCGCGGCGTATGATGCAGCAACGATGCTGACGCGTGCTGAGATGCTGTCATTTTGGCTGATGTTTGTGCTGAAACCCTGTCTCTCGGCCTGGTGATATGCAAATTGCTCGTTGGACCTTCCCGGCGCAACGCACCCTGCAGTTGCGGTAAGTGCGCTTTGCAAGCACCTTCCCGTCTTCCCCCCTCTTCCCCCTGTTCCCCCTTTTTCCCAGAAAAGGCTCCTCGCTGTGCAAGGAGGCTCCTCGCTTTTCGTCCCAGTTGACCTTTCTTCTTACGCTTGGACGTCACGTCCTCGCGCGCTGCGTCAATGTCGACTGGCTGCATCACATCTGGCTGATTAGTTGTCGCAGCCTGGCAGGCTGCTCGTATGAACAACTTGTACCATCGAAGTCGCATTACAACCCCACCCCGCACGCCGTCTCACCACCCCACTCCGCACGCCATCTCACTCCACATGCCGTCTCACTGCCACCCCACCCCACACGCCGTCTGTTCCACACTCATGTTCCCAATGCTGCCTTTGCTTCTCTCGCGCTGCTTGCTTCAAGCAGCTTGCCTCAACTATAGCGAGTCCCTCCTGCTGTCCCTGCTCACACGCAGCATGCCGCAACGGTTGTGGTTGGCGGCAAGAAGGGCTGGCCCGGCGTCAAGGGCTGGAAGAGTCTGTCACTCGATGCAAATGATGTTCTAGGTTCGTGCTTTTAAGTATTTCAGTGCTGTGCTATCCTCGCAAGAAAGGATTCTATAGCCATTATTCGACCTTGCATCGTTCTCGTACTGTCCTGTCTAGCCTGCTTAACTTCCATCTGCTTACCTCGTCTCACCGTTTGACCATTCGTTGAATCATATTCGCGACCAATTGCCACCATTAACGACCACAGCTCGGTCCCATGCACACTGGTGCGCAAATCCCTCTTATACCGTATTCCCTTTCGTTCTTTTCCGCGTGTGTGGTTCCTCCATTTCTGCTCGGCAGTCTTCCAGTGGGGCGGCGGTCCCATGGGTGGCCTCTTTGGGCGCAAGCACAGCGTCGCAATTCCTAATGGCCCGGCGTCAATGAGCAACTGCAGAACCAATAAATATTCCTATTTTCTCGCGAAGCCCGCCAAAAAGGCGAAAACGTCTTACACGTATACAACGACAATTGGATTTTTCAGCACCGTTGGAGACGACTGTGCCAAGCTTGGGATGAAATGGGTGACACCTGATGGCTGATGCTATCAGAAAATGTGTTCTAGTAACCCTATAGTCACTAGACCTTATAGTCTTATTTGTTTGACAATCAGTTCTAGTGACTTCCTGTCTGATTTTGGTGTCCACACATATGGCTTTAGTGTTCGCACATATGGTTTTTAGTGCTTGTACATGTGGTTGTAGTGCTCCCACATGTGCATTGCACATAAACGCGAATTCTCTGCTACCAACTCTGATTTTCCAGCGTTTTTTAGGACCCTCTAGTTAATCCCTTCTTGCGCAGAGGTTTGGTTAGGACGCGTCACAATTGAAATACCGAGGAAGGCTTGGGGGTATTCACCGACCCTGCCAAATCGATCGCCACATGGGTGTGCCACGACTGCATTTTTGCAATCGCGGGCCCACAGCAATTCTCAAGGGACACGTTTGAAAAATCATGGGGCAAAATTGCCGAGGGGACGACTGTACATTGGTGAGCGATAACGAAGTCCGGTAACCATTAATTCGCAACTTAACGAATTAAAATACCCGCGAAACACCGAACCTGCGCAGGTTCTATGTTTCAATTGTGACGCGTCCTTAGTTCCGAGCTTCTTGGCCCTTGTGATCGCCCCTCTGGCACTGTTCGGGTCCCCATGATCTTTTCCCGCTGCCAAATGTACCTACTGTTCAAGTTGGCCCAAGCATGGTGTTCGGATCGGACCAAGAATGCGATCTTTAGGTTTCCGATCCGATCTTAGTCCACCTTAGGTTTCCCACGTGGCGCCCATCACGCCTCACATCACAGTTGATCGTTACGCCAGATCGCCACCACTGAGAAAGGAACAAAAGTCTTAGTCACTCACAAGTCGTGGGATTTACTAGTAACGAGGCGCCTTTGAGGATTTTGATTCCCATGGCATTGTAGCATGTCGTGCAGCGATGGTGTTGACTATTGAGTTCACTCAAGTTGATTCTCATGGCGTCGACCTTTCATGTCCCGCCACAGGAAACAGCCATAGGCTCCTCAAGTCGCATGATCGTTGATCAACCCGTCTAACGTGCCTGTACTTGCTTCGTACTGATCAGTGACCGTCCGATTCAACCGATCGCCGGCTCCGCAATGGCCGTCACGACTTGACTCGATTCACACAAAGTTCTGTGTATCGCCAGCTGCCTAGGCTAGCAGTACGATAAAAGGTGTGTCATTCACTCATACACGCGAAAGCATTGCAAGTTTGTCTAGCCACTCGTTTCGAAGACAGCCATTCGCTTCCTAGTTTCTCCCGCAGTGATCATGGCCCGTCGACTGTGCCTGCTGCTGCTGCTGCTGCTGCTGTTGGCAGGTACGCCGCCTTATGAAGTCGTCCCGTCCCATGCCAAGGGTGCTGCTGTTGTTGAGCATTTCAGTCCTTAGTCGTGAAAACCCTAATAGGCAAAGACGAGCGTGTTCCACCTGCTTTGTGCTATCCTGTACTGTGCCGTGCCTTGCCTTGCGGTGGTGTCACACTCTGCTGTGGCGCGGCGTACGATCATGCGGCGAACCTGTGCTGATGTGTGCTGAGACCCTGTCACTCGGGCTCATGGTGTTCAGGCTGCTCGTTCGAGTTGGACCTTCCGGCCGCAACCCGCCCTGCAGTTGCGGTAAATGCTCGCGCAAGCACCTTCCCCCTTCCCCCCTGGTCACTATTTTCCGCTTGACCATTCCCCTTAGCTAACGGGGTTCGTCCTGCCGCGCTTAATAGATCTCGAGTTGCTGCATCACGTGTGGTAGCTTTGCTGACGCAGAGTTAGCGTCTCACTGCCAGAGCTATAGCGTCTCACTGCCATAGCTATAGCGTCTCACTGCCAGAGCTGTTGCGTTCACTGCCAGACCCCGCACCGGCGGACTCATGTTTTCTCAATGCCGCCTTGTTTCTCCATCCGCTCGCTCCATGCAGCATGCCGCAACGTATGTGGTTGGCGGCAAGAAGGGCTGGCCTGGCGTTAAGGATTGGAAAAAACCGATTATCAACCTTGATGATGTTCTAGGTTCGTGCTTGATTGTTTTTATTTCCAGTGCCAGCGCAAGAAGAATTCTATCACCATGTAATCCATTTTGCATTCGACTGTCCCTGTCCCCCCTGAGTAACTGCCATCGCTGCCTGCCTTGTCACCGTTTGACCATCCTTTTCTTGCGTCCCCCCAAAAAAATGTGGATCGTGTGTAACACCATCAGCAAGCACTGCTTGGTTGCATGCAAGCGCTGAAACCCTATCTTCTTTTTCCGATTCGTTCTCGAATTCGTTGTGGTTCCTACTCTGCTTTGCAGTCTTCAAGTGGGGAAGCGACACCTTGACCGGCCTATTTGGCCCGGAGCACAGTGTTGCTATTCCGAAAGCGTCGGGTTCAATCGCTGTCTGCAATACCAAGGACGTTGCCACATTTGTCGTAAAGCCTACACGCAAAATTAGAAGGTCTTTTACAGTTACAAGCCCCCCCTATTTTTTTAGCACAGTTGGGAAGGACTGCAGCAAGCGTGGGATTAAGTTTTTTCTGGGAGCAGGCGTAGTCCCCTAGATTCGTTTAGGACCACGCTGATCCATCAGCCTTGGTAGGGAAAAAAGCGCTGACGATCAGTGTTTAGCACGGTGAAATTACAGCTTTCTTTCCGAGGTAAAAGACGCTGATTGTGTATGGCTTGAATTTCAAGCAGTAGTACAGATTACAGAACTGAAGTGTAATATCTCTCGTGGATGGATTGGGAGTGGCGAGAGAAGCAGGTGGGTTAGGGGGGCCAGAGTAACAGGTCTGCTGGGGGGACGGGCGAGAGAGGCACATGGGCTGAGGAGAGGGGAGAAACGGGATTGCTGAATGGAAGTTGGGGGCTGGGCTGGGGGGAGTTCCGAGTGGACGAAGTGGGCTGGGGGGAGTGGACGAAGTGGTCTGGGGGGGGTTTCGTACGAAAGAAATGGGCTGGGGGAGGGACAAGCGAAAGAAACGGGCCTGTCCGGAGGAAGGGAGAGTGGCCAAAAGAGTGGGTAGGGTACAGTGGGCGGGAGAGCAAAAGAAGTTTTCACAGACACCATTGGATACCAAAATCATGTACCCCCCAACAGAAGCTTATGTTACAGGCCGTGGAGAAATTGAAAGCAGACTTGACTACACCTTGTCAAATCACCTAAGGCCTTTCCTGGGTCTTCTTACACCTCCTTTCTTTCCAGGCGGTGGGTTGGGTGATCTCCTGCTTCCCCCTTTGCCCTTCCCCTTGTCCTTCCCCTTCTCCTTCTCTGCCTCTCTCCTCGCCCTCTCAGCTTCCTCCCTTTTCGCCTTCTCCTCTGCCTCCCTCGCCTTTCTCTCCTCTTCCTCCTGCTTTTTCTTCGCTGCAGCCTCCTCTTTCGCCTTCTCTTTGCTCTTTGCAAGCTGCTTTCGCTCCTCCCACTCTCTTGCCTTTCTCTCTTTCTCTGTCTCCCTCTTAACCCCACTCACCTCCCCCTCTTGCTTCTCTTCACTGGCAGGCCCCCCTGTCTTCTCCCCTCCCGTCTCTCCTCCCTTATCCGCCCCATTTTCCCCTCCCTTCTCTGCTCCCTTCCCACTTCCCTGCTCTGACTTGGTACCACTATCGCCCCCCCCAGCATCTCCACTCTTCTCTGACCCTTTCCCTTTCTTACGGGATGAGCCTGGGCGTGATGTGATGTTAGATGGCATAACAGGGTTACCGCTTACTGTGGTGGAGTTACCGCTCGCATTACCAGTGTTTGCAGCTGCTGCAGTTGAATTGTCGGCTTTATTTGCAGCAGCAGCAGCAGCCTCAGCAGCTGCCGCCGCAGCAGCGGCAGCGGCAGCGGCAGCAGCAGCGGCAGCGGCAGCAGCAGCAGCGTCTTTCTGAATCTTCGCCCATTCATTTAGAGCTGGGAGCAGAGTAAACACCAGGGGACAAGAGCAAGTGGAGGGGGGTTTTAAGTCGCCTCAAAGGTCATACACGTCTGCTCATCCAGAGGTGAGAGCAGTGCAAATACCAGGGGACAAGAGTAAGTAGAGAAACATTTTGAGTCACCTGAAAGGTCATACGTGCCTACTCACCCAGAGCTGGAAGCAGCCTTTTCTTACCAGTGCACTGGCCCTTCACCAGATCTTCACTCATGCTCCTGTTGACACAGTAAGGGGTGTTGTTGCACAGACGTAGGTAGGACCAGTAACGACAAATCTCGCTCCATTTCTCACAGAATCCATACTCTTCTTCATGCAACCATTGCCTGCTGCTGCTGCTGCTGCCATTTCCGCCAGCTAACGTGGCAGAGACGTTTGCTGATGCAGGATCCGTGCTGACGTGGCAGTCGATAACACCGTTGCAGAAGCGGGACTTATGCACGCACTGAACGCCGTTGGGGCACTTGTCGTAATCCCAGTGGCACCGAAACGTTCGGCACACCTCGGGATCCTCGTCATCGGTATAAGCAGGTCTGTTAGCAGCACTGGCGCTTGTATTACTGGGGTTGCTGTAATCTATGCAGTCATTGACCCCGTCGCACCACTTTTCCCGTGGCAGGCACGTGCCAGTAGAAGGGCACTGCTTGGTGCCTGTGTGTTGTTGTTCACAGTCAAATGCACGGCAAAGGGAAGGATCCTCGTCTGCTGTGTAAGGCAGTAGGGCAGGCGAACCGACAGTGCTGAGTGAACTCGTGCTGATGGAGGAACCACCACCTGTAGCCACCCCTTCCGAAGCAGAATTTGAGCCTTCAGCCGCACCATGCATCCCCTGAGCTGCATCATCAGTTGCACTGACGGTGACCGGGCAGTCGTTCGTGCCGTCGCACCTCTGTCTTTCCCGAATGCACAGGGTGCTTCCAGGGCACTTCCAGTATCCATAGAAGCAATTGTGACTCTTGCACATCACCGGATCTTCTTCATCACTTACAGCCGATGCTTCCATGCTTGTATTGGTCACAGCAGCAGCAGCTGCAGCAGCTCCAGTGGTGGCCCCTTCATCATCATCCCCTAAAGGACAATCGTTCTTTCCATCACAAACTTCCCAGGCATCAATATAAACATCGACCCACACGCCCCCCTCCTCCTCAAACCCGGGAACGATCACTTTCTGCTGCCGCTGGCACTTGAAGTACCCATTCTCCTTCGTCTTGCACACCTCAGGATTCTCGTCCTCGCCATAAGGCAGGGTCTGATTCGTTACAGGGTGCTTCATTAGTGGGCATCCGGATGCGCCGTCGCATGCTGGCACACACTTGTTGGTTTCGGTGCAGCGAACATGGTCTGAGTACAAGCAGCCCGGCCCGCAGACGTCGTCTGGGTCGCTATGGGGATCCACGCAGCAGTAGCCCGAGCCATAGGTGATGTTGCACGACCAAAGGTCATCACACACAGCCTGAAGAGGCAAGAAGAGGGACAAGAGGAGAGTTACGTGCATGAAGTGGGCTTGGGAGTGAAGGGAAGGCGCGATAGAAGGGAGGAGAGATTGGAAGAGGAGTGAGTGGGGGTGGAAAGGGTGGGAGCGATTCAAAAGAGAGTGGGAGAGGAGAGCGTGGAAGGGGAGATGGTATTAGAGGAGAGGGGATGTGAGTGGAGAGAAGAGTGGGAGAGAGAGACATGAGGTTTTAATGGGGGAGGCTGAGAGTGAGAAACACAGTGGGAGGGATTAATTGGCAGATAGGGGAAGTGCCGAAGCAGGAGGATGAGGGTCGCTAGGAATGTGACGCATCTAAGGCCAGAAAGTGTAGCTTACAAGGGTGTTTTGTGTATTCGCACACCTCCATTCCTCCTGCATGCACGGCTCGTTCTCACCCCGGCAGTACATGCCCCCAGGTGCCCCTCTGTCGTAGCACTCCCTCCCTCGAGGACCACACGGATAGTAATCATCGCTGCTGTTGCTCTCGCTGTCATTGCTGCTGCTGCTGTCGCTGTTGCTGCTGTCGCTGTTGTTGCTGTCGCTGTTGCTGCTGTCGCTGTTGCTGCTGTCGCTGTTGCTGCTGTCGCTGTTGCTGCTGTCGCTGTTGCTGCTGTCGCTGTTGCTGCTGTCGCTGTTGCTGCTGTCGCTGTTGCTGCTGTCGCTGTTGCTGCTGTTGCTGTTGCTGCTGTCGCTGTTGCTGCTGTCGCTGTTGCTGCTGTCGCTGTTGCTGCTGTTGCTGTTGCTGCTGTTGCTGCTGCTGCTGTTGCTGTTGCTGCTGTCGCTGTTGCTGCTGTCGCTGTTGCTGCTGTCGCTGTTGCTGCTGTTGCTGTTGCTGCTGTCGCTGTTGCTGCTGTCGCTGTTGCTGCTGTTGCTGTTGCTGCTGTCGCTGTTGCTGCTGTCGCTGTTGCTGCTGTTGCTGTTGCTGTCGTTGCTGCTGTTGCTGCTGTTGCTGCCACTGTTGTTGCTGTCACTGTTGCTGCTGCTGTCACTGTCGTTGCTGCTTTCACTGTTGTTGCTGCTACTGCCGTTGCTGCTGCTGTTGCTCTCAGTGCCGAGGCTGCTCTCACTGTTGCTTCCGTTGCTGCTCAAGCCTCCGCTGGCGCCATCTCCTGAACTGCTGATGTCACTGCTTGCGTCGCCCCTGTTGGGAAAGTCCCAATTAGGATCCTGAGCCGCCACCTTTTGTGAGGTTCGGGAAGAGGCAAAAGTGGGCCCGGTGGGGGGGAACAAAATGACGGGGGCAAGGTAGTAGAGCAATCCAGTGAGGCTGGGAATAGATGAGAGTAGGGGAAAAGAGTGCATAAGGGAGAGGTTGATTCCTGAAGAGAGGCCTAATCAGTGGAGCTAACATGAGATGCACTGTCCATGATGGAAAATAGAGAAGGATTGGGGGAAGGCGTCGTTAGGCGGGAAGCCGCACTGGAAAGGGAAATCTCCTGGAGGGGTTACGCGCCAGAAAGGAGGATTAACGGGAGGATGAGAACAGAGGCGGGTGCCAGGGAAAGCTGGAAGATTTGGAATCCGAGTCGGATATGACATTTTGTGATCAAAATGCCATTGGGTATGGAAACTAGGGATATCTGAAGGGCGGCTTCCGGGAAGCGCCTTACCTCTTCGTCCAGTGTGGACAGCGCTGAAGTCAGCGATGACGCCAGTAGAAGCGCGAGAAGCAGCCACGAAACCGCAGGTAACGACCTGGACGGCAACTGTCGCTGCACCATTATACTCTGACGGCCACGATCCGTCAGAGCTTTGCGTGTTTCTTCCTCTGAATAGGAAGGCCCCTTTGAGATCTTCAAATGCGTGTTGAACCGGGTTCGGAAGATAAGGTCAGGGTTTTTAGGGTTTCGGGTGTTGCTCGCGCCACTCAGTGAAGGCTGAAAAAACAACTGTAGTTTTTTTTTTTTTTTTTTTGGTAACATATTCTCGAGAATAATAAAAATCGATAGGCTAAACGAGCAAACGCGGGCTAGCTTGAGATGATCGCGACAAAGGAATGATTGAGAGCAAACAGATCTCGTACTACAAGTCATAAAAAAATGGGAAACTGGGATGCACAGAAATGGCTGTGCTAGGGGAGGAAGAGAGAGTTGGAGAAGAAACAGCTTGGGCGCGAAATGTGACGAGGCGCATCGCGGTAGATATTGCCATGCCTTGCTGTCAAACTGAGGTTGGTGGTGGGGCGGGCTGACGCTATATGACCCCCGACGACCGCGGTGGAGGGCAGTTTCGCCCTGGATGGAAGGGAACCACCTGAGCGCAACACCCCCAAGTAGATTTCAGGAGAAACAGCGATGCGAGTTTCAGGGGCTTTGAAGAGGTCGAGGAAGTCAACGCAGAAATGAGACTCGTGCGAACAAAAACGAAGATGCAAACGTTACGCTTCTGGGGAGTTATAAATGCATGCGGTTATGATTTTATAAACACGAATAATCAATAACGAAGCAGCGACTAAATCAACTGACAATGCAATGAAGGCCTTGCGAGGTAATATTGGAGGTTAAAAGAACTAAATTCCAGAAATTTGGGTTTGGCGCAGGTTGGGGAACTGAATGTATGCTTACAGATCCGCATGCGGAAAAAAAAAAAGTGTTACGAATAGTAGTACTTGACATTACTGTGCACTCCTCACCGCAACTAAGAGAAGCACGCAGTAAAGGGAACGAACGTGAAGCGTCAGACAGTTGGATTCGAACCGAAAGGTCAGACAGTTACAACACATCTGGACCGTCGGAAAGCAAACGGCATCGGGCAGCTGCAGGTAGGATGGCCTTGGCGGGAACAGTTACGAAACTGTACGCGCCGCACGGTTGGGAGTGAATTTGAATAAGGGAATGTACCTCTTAGAGTACATGGCTAGCTAGGACGTTTCAACTTCCCTGTACTCATATATATTTCCTTGTATTTGCATGTTTTAATCGATCTCAAGCATTTTACATTCACTCTGCTATTGAGGTCAAGGGCCCACCAATGCAACTACTGCGTGCGAACCTTCCTGAGCAGATCCTAGGCCACGATCAACTTCTGATCGCAGCATGGTATGAGAGCGACTCAGGAAACCTTCGCATTCCCACTCCCGAAAATTACGACATTCGGAAAGTGGCGTCCGGCACACGCTCGCGAACGAGAATGGCCGGAGGATCTGGTGGTCAGACGAATCTGACGGCTGAAGCGCAAGCCAACCCGGCTGCGACAAGCGAGAACACGACGACAATCAACTCCGAAGTTCTCGCACAACTGCTTCAGCGACTCACCAGCTTGGAGCAAGGTCTCCAAACATTGCGGAATGGCGACGCGGGAACTT